TTTTATTAATTTCCATGTCAAAATCATTATTAAATAAATTATCATAAGTTAATAAAATAGAGATGTCATCTGCAAATAGTATACACTTATTAGTAGTAATGTCACTCGATGTTGGCTTGTATTCATCTCCGTACATGTGTGCACATGCATTCAAGTTTTTCATGGAATCGATTTTTTATGGAACAAGCCCACCACCAACTAAAAACAACAAGCCAATCTCCTCGAATGCTCCGAACCCTGCAACACTACAAGTTAGGGTCTACAATAGGTACAACAGGTACATATGCACACCGAAACTGATGATAATGTCCAGCGCTTCCCAGTGACATGAATAACTGTCTTGAATCTAGCAATGAAATAAATCAGAAGGTATTCAGTATGTGAAAGGAAGAAAAAACGAAACGAAGACATAATTTTGACTATAGAGCGTAAACATATGATCTGTTTACAATACTTTAGCTTCCCTGATACTTATTCATCTGCATATAGAACGCTGTGATTTGCAAGTACCTATATACGCATTTGGCCTTTTTTGAGGATCTCTCCAGTGAAGCCAAGTTCCCCTAGGGTACCCCCTACCTCCGTTATATTCAAGGCTATCATTTTAATCGAGTTCTATTTTCCACTGAGTCGATATCGGTGTTTTGTTTCTCCACGACAGCCGACCGACACGCCGCGTCATGTAGGACACACAAGCGGGCCCCCTGCCAACTGTCCCGCCCCGCCTGACGTGACTTATGATAGTGTGCACGATGCATTATATTTTAATAGACTAGTTAATACTGTTTGTTTTTGTAAATTGATTATTATTATTTGAGTTTAATTTTAATTTGTTGGCACTGGATATATTCAATAAAAAACAAGATACGTGTAAGTTCTGCAGGATGTGAATCCATTAACGGTAGTTAAGTAACGTCAATTTAAAAAAAAAGTATGAAAATTAAGAAAAGAAGCGAAAAAATTATACACACACAAAACAACAATAAATTTATTCAGATACCGCAAAACCAATCCAACACAACTAGGTACTCGTAAAATATGGTAGTACCTACTGTGGAAGTGAAAGACGATTAAGCATTCAAACTAAGTACCTATTCACATGCCTAGTAGGTATGGTTAGAACCGCACCCTTACATCTGAAAGAAGCTAGAAGTATCTATGTAGAAAACGAAAAATGAGAAATTTTATTAAAAAAAAGCAGTAACTTTAAAGTAAGGTAAACATTTTTCCGAAGTACTATTAATGAAAATGCCAATGTTCCAGAGATATGACGTGATAATCAGCTAAAATAAAGTTGCTGACAGCTCTGGACGTGATGTCATCACAGTATGTGCCAAATCATTACACTACACATTACGTTGCTGTAAACATTATTGTTAAACCACCAAGTATATAAATACGTGCCATTTAATCTTACAAACTAATTTTATTTAAGTGTGGCAGAAGTAAGCTTCGGCACGAATGAGTCGGCCGGCTCCACCGGAGTGATACCACTGCCTCACAGAAAACCGGTATGAAATAACCAGGTTGTATTTCGCTGTGTAAGTGAGGTTACTGGAGGCACTGTCTCTTCCCTACCCTCATCCCTTCCCAATCCTTAAATATCCAAACCTCTTATCCCTAAAAGGCCGGCAACGCACTCGTAACTCCTTTGTCCATGTCCATGGGCGGCGCTGATTGCTTATCATCAGGTAATCCGACTGCTTATTTACCTACTGACCTATACCATAAAACATTTACTGTGAACATGGACTATACTCGTTTCTCAGGACCTCAGGACATAGGAGAGGCAAAACATAATTCTGAGAACCATTGGATCAATTTTTGGAAAACCATACAAAATTAATATAATTTGCACCGATTGCTGTGTGCGTGTACTTACGCATGCATTTTTGATATAAACGCAATATCGCATTGCATCGTATCGTCTGCCAACTGGAGTAGCCGTTATCTTAAAGCCTCAAGGGCTAATTGGACTTTTGATGCCAAAATGCAGTTATATTTAGCTAGATTTACGTATCACCGAGGTTAGTGATGTCATTAAAATGGGAGATTTGACCAAAAAATAGAGACACTGCTAGTTAGCTTACATATAATGTTTTAGCACTATTAAAAATGTCAGTGCTAATGCTAGAATTCACTTTGTTAGTATCACATGTTGTTTATCGAGCTCTAAATATTTGTAAACTAATATCAAAAGACTACTGACTAATAAGAAAGTGAAAGTTGACAGACATTTTGGAGGGAACCAAACTAAAACTTAGGTAATTCTGAGATGATAATGTTTAACAATTTAGTCTCTGAATCGTTAAATAGTTCATTGCCATAATGGTGGCATTACAACTAGACACTGATATTGAATGCAATCCATAATATTTGGCAGGCGAATATTTAATGTCAGCTGACAAACAAAATGTTTATGTAAAATTGGAAGTTTGTTTCATTCATATTTGCCCGGAGGTTAAGACGACACTTCTCATGCAGGGTTCGAGTTCGAAACGTGGCAAGTACCAATTTTACTTTTTCTGCGTTTTCTAAGAGTATTTAATCACCTCTGGCATACGGTGAAGGAAAATTTGTAATCATAAGTTTGAAATCGACAATTCGACTTGAACAGCGCGGATGCCTTAAGCAAGCCTGGTGATTAATGCTCAAAAACCTCCGTGTGAGAAGAGGCCTTTGCTTCGCAGTGGGCACTTATAGGCTGATGATGATGTTGTATATTTGTAAACGCAACCACGTTATTGGAGAAAATACTAGTAAAAAATCGGTTTTTGCTATAGATGAAAGACAAATTATAGACAATTTAGAACTCTATTTACAACGGCATTAAATACATATATAATCCCCATAGAACCAGAAAGTACTCAGTGTAACTGTTATATTCAACTAAACGATATTGTATGTCATATTAAGTAACAGTAACAGTCATAAAATAATTCTCATCCGAACCCATCTCGATTAATTGACGGCTCGATTCCCAGCATTCTGGTACAAATAAATCGGCGCGGACGATGCGAGCAGTCGACGGCACTGAATGAAGGTGACAGCTGACAGATTACACGAGGTAGATTGACGACCACATTTATTGTTTGGTGCAACATGTCAGCTATGATGCAATACATTAAGATAATTGGAAAGAAAGGAGATAGCGAATATTATCTAGAAATTTCTATTTTGGATTATCACATGACTTTTCTTGATGAATACATTTTAGTCAATGGATCAATGATGTGCGCCGTTTATGGGCAAAACATGGACGCTCACAACCAATGAGGACATAATCCTCTATGCTCAGAACGCACAATTAATAGCTTGCATGTCCGACTTATTTCATGTATACGCAAATTTAACAAATAAATTATCTTTCTTCTTTCTTTCTTTCGCCCAGGGTGAGGAGAGAGAGATAGTGTCAGAGTCTAACTGGTAAAAAAATACACCAAGCTCCTTCTTCTGTTCCAAGCCGAGGCCACGGTGCCTTATTGCGCTTAACCCGTAACCCTGGCAGACAGCTGATCAGCCGATGTAAAGATCGGTCCGGTTGAGCCCCGTCTGTGGTGGTCTATTGGGACGGCCAAAAAGCCGGCCGTAGAGTAACAATTTCGTTAAAAAATATAAAGAATTTGAAGAAAAGTAAAGAGATACTTAAGATGTAATCCTATACGACTCTTCTGACGTTTGATCTCTCACCCGAATACATTAAGTTGTCAACTAATATGTAACTACATTCAACGGCCCACTTCTGAGATTCTATGGGTTAAAATAAAACGCAGCCCCAAAATCTTAAAGTGCCTTAACGATTTATACTTATAATATGTATAAGCACTTACACGTAGTCCTAAGTACTAAGGTTCTTAAAAGACAAGTTACTTTTTAAAGCTAAAATGTTTCATTGTAGTCTAATTGTGATCGAATAAGTGTGGGAGAGCCTAGCTTCGGCACGAAGGATTCGGCGAGTGATACCACCCACGGCCTTACAGAAAACCCGCGTCGAACAACAACATCGTTATATTTCGCTGTGTGAATGAGTTTAGTGGAGGCCCTATCCTTTTCCATCCCCATTCCTCTCCAATCCTTAAATATCCGAAATCCTTATCCCCAAAAGCGCGGCAACGCATTCGTAACTCCTTTGGAGTTGCGGTTGTCCATGGGCGGAAATTGCTTACGATTAGGTAATCGGTTTGATCGTTAGACATATCACGTAACAAATTATAAGTAATCATTATTTACCAACTAGGTATATAGGTTACCTACTTCAAAAAATACAACAATTACCCATCCTAAGATCAACGAAGAGAAACTATGTTCAACGGTTAATAAATAAGCTTATAATGTGTATAGTATAAAGAGTGTGAAACTCTCATCAAGATCGGCACGTTATCAATCAGTATCAGCGGCCGTCTCCTGGCGACGATGACGCCACCTAGCCAAGTGCCAAGATGCCAGCAGTGACTGGCGTGCCGTCGCGTGAGGGGCAAATTGCGAGCCACTCGTGTGTGGCACCAGCATTTGTTCTACTGATATCGAAGGCTGATTTATTTATTTAACACGTTTATAAATATGTGTTCATGATAAATAAGGTTGAAAAATCTAAATAAAACTATTAACTTTTTAACTTACTCGAAGATCGTCGATTTAAAATTAACGCAATATTTAGTCGAGTACTTATTATGTCGAGTGTTTGTACCTTTTTTTTGGCGCTAAAATGCAAACGAGCACACGGTTTAGCTGATAGTAGCTAGTTATTATTATATTGTTAAGGAATTATGTAGTTCAGTGATCAACGCCGCCTATGAAGAAACAATCGCAACCCCAGAGGGTTACAAGTTTAAATCAGCTTTCAATCTTTAAATAATTAAATTTTGACATAAAAATAGATCTTAAGCGATATAAACTTAAAGTTGCAGTAAGATATTGATGAAAAAAAAGTATTTTAATTTCGACCGTAAAAGACAGAAAAATGGCTGTAAAAGAAAAATGTAATCAAAATAACAACTCACCTTTTTCTTATGCGACTTCTTGTTCATCTTGCTGAGCTGTCTCCTGCAACAGAACACAGATGCTGTATGTTTTGATACACAAATCACATTCTTTTATAATGGGCCACAGCTGTTTCTCCCCGAATCCCGAATCACTCCGGAAATATTCTGTGACGCTAACTTTAACAATAATGTGACCCGGCTGGCTTCTATGAGCTGCTGTGAAAATTACGAGCACTAGGATTGCAGTGACTAAATTAAATATTTGTGTCAAAGTGTCGCCTCTTCTAAGTATAATATGTATACAGTTACACTATCTACTTACAATTTTTCGTACTATATTTCCCACAAGAGAAAAGGGATAGAAAAAGGTTTAGGTATTGTAAATAAAAACTTACTAACGTGAATTAAGTTAAAATCTAAACGAGTTTCAAGTCAAAGCGTGATTCTTAGTCACGCAGCGTTGCTAGTAGAGTTTTTCTAATTACCGTAAGTAAATTGTTATTTTCAATAAATTTAGTAGGTATGTTTCACGTTACGTAGTGACTTCAGGGGGTTACCCTCCAGTTGGCGAACATGGTGACATTTGTTCTAAGAAGTATAATTTGAAGGCAAGAAAACGTGCGTTCGGGAATATTAATATTAATTGAATTTGTATAAGCTAATAGTATGTGCATCAAACGTTTATCGGGAACTTCTACGTAGGTGGCGAAAGCGAAATAGGCGCTTCACTAAGCAGTTCTTGTAGCAGGATTTTTTCCTAAGATAAATCTTTCCTGTCATGTCATAATATCCGGTGTTACGGATCAAGCGTTTATATCATAAACCACGGCCCCTTATTGAATTAGGAGAAGGAAAGGGGTGTTTTTAAGTCAGTAGGTAAGAGTCTGACAATACCAGACTCTCGTCCCACCCAGAGCAAAAAAGCAACTTGATGAAATACCTACAGCAACAAAATTTTTTTTATTTTTATTTTATAATAAATACTGCAAACGGACGTACTTGTTATCGGATGGTAAGCTATCAGCGCCGCCCATGGATACCCGCAACAACTTAGGAGTTCGAAGTACGTTGCCGACCTTTTAGGGATTAGAGATTGGGGAAGGCTTAGATGAGGGAAACGATTGTGCCTCCGGGTATCTCACTCACACGGCGAACCACAACGCTGTGGTTGTTTCACGTCGGTTTTCTGTGAAGCCGTGGTATCACTAAGATCGAACCGACACTATCATGCTAAAGCTTAGCTCTCACACAATTGATTCAACACAAACTATCGTATTATACCTACCACTGCACTAGTTAGTAGTGTAGGTACTTGGCAGGCACATTGACGATGGCTATTAAACGATATTTATTAACTGAGCAGACAAATGGATGCAGCTGTTCCACTAAACAATATAACTCCTTTATCTCTCCCTTATACATTAAACATCGTAACAACTCATCACGGATTAAGAAATCACTAAACATCATCAAACTAGAAAAACATCGCGACTGCGCCAATAAAAAATGTCATCAAATGTTGAAAATGAAGAATTCAGAGCATTTATATCTGACAGTCAGGACAGGAAATGTCACATAGAAACTTTCGCAATGACTACATTTAAAGTTTAAATCATGTATACTAACAATTAATCAAACTCACATTTGATTACGTACCTACTATCAATCCCCATAGATTACCTAATCATTAAAATATTAGCTGTTTTCGTTTCCCTCCTTCGTTTCGTAATCAATCCCGGCGCGCTATACATAAAATCGTTTTAAAATTAACTGTTCATGCTTTTGTTTAAAGGCACGCTTCGAAATTCCTCTGGTCGCGATTAAATTTAATGTGTCGTCCATTTTGACGCGGAGAAATCGGCCGCTCATAAAACACTAGCCGTAACTAATTAACATGGAATCAGGGATGGGAAATAGAAGCGAAGGTTGAAGGATGATCTTATTTGTTTTGTTTCTCCAAGTCTTATGAGCTTTCGGCTGTAAATGATCAGAGATATGGGATGCGGAATGGATTCTGGGTTGTAATAATATCAATAAAAACAATTTCAAACAGACCCATAACTCAAACATTGTATAATATTTAAATGATGTTTTTAATATTTAGAATACCACTTATACCAAAATGGTATTCTAGTTTATTCGAAGAAAATTCTAGTACATAGTTCTGGCACTAGAAGGAAACATACAACACGCAAGCCGGCCGTGCCTAGCAGCAACAGATTTGGTATCTTGCCTAAACTACCCACCCCTATAACTGTCTCTAACTGTGCTCAATGCACCAATATGTTAACAAAAATATCTATTTTAGTAACAACACAATGTGCCAAACACGACACGCCGGTATTAAAACTAGAAGCTTCATTATTTTGTATTGAAACATGTCGCGACAATGTTTGTTTTTACTTTTATCTTACAGCTTCACATCAATAGATTCTCTTTACGGCCGTAAAGACAGCTACAAAGAGGCTGAACGATCGTGCATCATGGCTCTGTTTAAAAGTTTGACTTTTGGTACGTTGTAAATAATTCTGTAATGCGTTCTCCGCGCCCGAATGCTGAGATTCCGTTAAATATTTTGGTGATTGGTGCCATTCAAACTTTGTTGGGAATTCCTTTTATCTTGGATGCTTTAACAGGATTCTGACAGCAGATAGAGGTATATATCGGTCCAGGAAATATTATTACGCTGATTTTTTTAAACTTTTTTGAAACTTGTTAAGAATTAAAAACAAACACATTTCTATACTTTGACTCATAAGCGCGCATTACTTTCAACGTTTATTACAAACAAAATTTTATCGAATACATCACGATCTTAATGCAGAAATTGAAATAACAATCAAATAAAAACAAACGGACCGTTTTATTGCCGTCCAACTGGCGTACACTGAAGAAATCCAATCTCCCGTATTATCATAACCTTAGCCGCGATGTAAATCAAATTTTGGCGTTGAATGTTTGCCAATGCGTTTAAATAAACTGACCGTTGGATGGATGGTACAGTGGCCAGCAGGTCAACCTACACCAATCGATCAAATTTTTTCATTAAACTTTCAGCTTTATATCAAAACAGTAATGTTGAAAATCTAATACAAGAATTTGATACAAAGAAGTATGTTAAGCTGCTGGTCAGTGTGCTAGAGTGTCCGGACGGGCCGACGTCGACAGGGCCATTTGGCGGGCATCAGAACTCGCTCAAAGTTCCCATTTAATCTTTGTTTTCCCTTTCGAAAGTATAAACAATTACGTACTGGTTTCCGTAACGTTCGTTGTGATGTCAAACAAACTTTATTGATCACTGCAATAACGTATGGAGTGCAGTTACCGAACGGTTTCTGTGTTACAAGTGGATTTTCATTTGTAGGAATATTTACTTAAAGTATTGAGAAACGGGAGGCCACTCGAGCAATTCTGAGAATAACAATGACTTGCTCGTTCTATCACATTCGATAAATAAACTCATTTAATACAACCAAATCCTTATTTATTAGGATTTATAGTCTAAATAATCTTTTGCAAAATCTTCTAAATCCGACCGTGGAATTTATAGTTGATGTAGTATGGAATCATTCAAATGTGAAATGAATTTGAAAAGTAACTCGTCTATTTTTAGCAGTACAGACCTATAATTATAACTTACTTTAAAATATGGATGTGTTATATAATTTACACTGAACGTTCTGTTTGAAAAGATATGATTAATTTATGTCTTCCTCCGAATCCTCAGTCAAGAGATGACGGCTAATACTTTATGTTATTACACAGCTGTTTTAAATATTAAACACTTAAAAACATGTTCATGTCAACATTAATAAAGAACTCAATCAAGAATTTGGATTTTCATTTATCACACCTATTAAAAGTACTTGACATCTTTGTTAGGGTCAAAAAAGGGGAAAAATCAGTAGGCTCAACATTAATTAGTATTTTTTTTTTTGGAGTGAGAAACATCATCAAATTATATCCCGCCCAAGGTGCGGCGACAGGGAGAATCAAACTCTTCTACACAGTATAAAATAAAGTTGCGTTTTCTATCCCTATATCCATACGTACGCTTAAATCTTTAAAACTACGCAACGGATTTTGATACGGTCGGTTTTAATAGATAGAGTGATTGAAGAGGAAGGTTTATACGTAGGTATATTAGCATCCTTGAAATGGTGGAGGAATTGATATCAGCATTGCCCCCGTGCAAAGCCGGTGCAGGTCGTTAGTATTGAATAAAAACTACCTCGTTTCTTCTCCTGCTCCGGACTGAATTGCTCCTTATAAACAATGTAATTCTTGCAAATAAACACTTTTGAATTTGAATTTGAAGCCGCAGTACATGCTTGCGCTAGATCCGCAACCCCGCTAGATATCGGCCCTGTTGGGCCCCATTTGTGGTTACATGAATGGTTCTTTCTTTGAGACAACGAGTCAGAATCAGAGTCTGACACTACCTTCATCGTACCCTAGGCGAGAGAAGTTATTTGATGATTTTTTTAAAATATCAACACCGGCTAGTAAAGTATGGATATTTAACTAAAAGAACGAATAGGTCGGCTCGACCGGAGTGATACCACGGCCTCACAGAGAACCGGCGTGAAACAACTACAGCGTTGTGTTTCGCCGTGTGAGTGAGGTTACCGGAGGCCCAATTCTTCCCTCCCCCGATCCCTCCCCAATCCCTTAATCTCCAAAACACTAATCCCTGAGAGGTCGGCAACGCACTCGTAACTCCTCCGTTGCGGGTGTCCATGGGCGGCGCTGATTGCTTACCATCAGGTAATCCGTCTGCTCGTTTGCCTGCCTATTACATAAAAAAATGTTAATAGTAAATACAATAAACGCAAAAAATATATAACACAACTAAAATGTTCCAAAGCTACAAACACATAAATTATCTTAAACAAGAGCTAGGCAAAGCGTTTTTAGTTGTAAAAGATCAAATAGGATATGCTACAGTTGTAAACTAAAGTGTCTGCATGTTCTTGGAAGCTGGCGGCAAATTATGATGAAGAGGATCTAGTTCAAACGGGACGAGCAATATGTCATGTGAGCGACCGACGCGACAGGGCGACGTCTAAACGTCCCCGAGACGTCCGAGTAAACGTTTTGTTCTGCCGTCATCTGTTTACGATGAATATTACGTGGTTGCTTTTATCTCGTCCAGGAGTAGGATCAAAGGAAGATTACCATCAGCCATAAGGTGTTGTAAAACTGCTACTTCAGAATAGGAGTGATGTACAAGGTTCCATTCTATCAGTTAAAAAGGTTCTTGGGTTATATTTAATTTATTATTTATTTTATTTTAAACTAAAATATTTTCTAAAAAAACACTTAAATATATCAAAAGCACTCACCGGTAACGGAAGGGTTCTAAGAAACCGGTGGTCAGGGCTCCAGTGAAAGGAATCGATTTTTAAATAATTTCTTTATTACTAGTTCTTTATCATTAGTCATCATACTGGCGGAAAAGGTATTAATTACTTCATAGGATATGATCCTATTCTATCGGATTTTAACCCGAATTTATTATAACATAATAATATCAAAAATGTTTTTCTTTATCGCCCAATCCCATGTTATATTGAAATAAAATTAAATTTAATTGAGGTCGGCCACTGATTAAAAATATTATTATGACCTATAGTTTTACATTCAGTATGGTATAATAGTGACTTATAAATATCATATCTTTCAATATATATCAATATCTACTTGTGTATAACAACTGAGGTCAATTTACATGTTAAAGTACCATCTCAATAAATCATAGTGCAGCTCTTGGCTCCAGCATCAATAGACGCTGCGTACGCGCATCATTGCCGCCCGTTAATGATACAGCCTACAGATAAAGAGTTTCATATTTTAATAGATAATATTTTGACATGTTTCATTTTGGAGCTGCTTTAGAGTCGGTGGGAGATAACATATTTTCACACGTGTTTCCACTTGTGTCACAGGTGCCATTAAAACGCAGTCAGTGACGATAAGTAAACATATTTGAAACAGTCGCGATGACTCGACTCAACAAGATTCTTACAAAAACGGATGCAACGTACATCAAAGTGATAAAATTCTTAGAAAATCTAAAACGTATGACTTCCTTTCAATATTATAGCTGACTGAAAACTACAACTGTCCATAATTCTACGAAAATTACAAAAATATTATTCAATAATATTCGATTTACAATTTTCCAAGTCCTATTCGTAGCCTTTGGAACTACTACGCGCTACGGGCGTGTCCTTGTCTGTAGCTCGTAGTACTTTTGTCCCTGTAACTTTCGTAGCACGTAGCAAGTTCGTATAATCCAATTTTGTATTATTAAAAGCATGTGTTTCCGTAATTAAACATCATATATAATTGTTATTTCCTGCCAACTCGTACGGTTATTAAAATAACAATTTACAGACATTTTGTTCGATTTGGAGCAATATTTTAAGCTGTTTATAAAGAGAACATAAACAGAATGTCAAGTACATACAACACGCACTTCAGTATTGTTAGTGCAATTAATTTTATTCGACACACTTTCTACCAGGGAGTAATGAAACGTGGAATGTATTTTTATGTTATTTGGTGGAGCAGCAGGGGAGAAAACATGGGACAACAGCCACTTTTTCTGTGGATATCGTAAAAGCGGACTAAGGTCGTGGTGGCCCGGAGGTTAAAGCGTCTGCATCACATGCATGAAAGTGTCGGCTTGAAACCTGGAAAGTACCAATGTGACTTATCTCGAGTCATATGTATGTCCTTTCTATGATTATTTAGACACCATTGGCATACGGGGAAGGAAAACATCGCGAGGAAACCTTTATAATTTCTAATTATAAGTTTAAAATCCGCCTTGATTAAGCGTGGTTGTTAATGCTCAAACCTTCTCCTTGTGAGAAGAGACGTATGCTCAGCAGTGGGCACTAATAGGCTAGGGAGTACTAAATTAATGGGTACCAGGCAGCTGCGATTCCTGAGAAACCAAATTTTTGCTACTGCAATTGATAGCCTGCCTACCTAGCGGGAAGGTTTTCTTAATGGGGAACTGCAGAGTCCACAGTGAACTCTCATGGGCCGTTTTTGTTGAAGTTGATATTAAAACATTTGTGTATGGTGTTTGCATGTTATTTCTACTTTATTATATTTTTATATTCTGCGTAGATTTTAATTGATAGAGGATGTTTCTACGTTGCCGACGTTACTCATCTCGTGTCTTACGCAAATCTCGTAAGCGTCGGATTTGTATTTCCTTTTACAGATTGGATTCAAGATAGTAAAGTCAATAAATTGAGCTTAGAGGAGTTAAACTGTTAGTATGTTTAGTTTAAGATTATATCTAACGTTCATGTATCCTAGCTTCTGCGCTGAAATTTCATAACGCAGGAGAATTCACTTTCGAGTTTTTTTCATAATCTACAATGTAATATGAATCCTGTCAATTACCTACGTACCTGAGTTTTAATTAAAGTAATCAAACCATTATTTAATCAATTGTAATCAAGCTATGCTAATTTGTAAAAGTCATAAATATTATTTCCATTGGACAATTAAACAAAAATATTACAAACCTCAATTAATAAAACCAAAAGTATTCACAGGTCACTGAAAACTAATATTGTCCATATCAACTGTCACTCACATCATAAAAATGGCGCCTCAATTATGGCGGGAAAAAGTTTAGGGTTTGCGCGCGCGACCGTTTACCCTGGCACAACGGACTGTTATGCCGGGACCGAGGACTGACACAATAAAATTAAGCATTTACACTGTGAACCGGCCCACGAGACGTTTTCGTAATAACCATAGCAGATTGCAATGTGCGGCCATTTATTGGGAGTTAATTTGGCAACAGTGGCATGCCAAATGATTTTAATGATGCGCGCTACTTGCTGCCCAGTCGCCTGTGCCTTCAACACAAAGAAGTACACACTCAGCTCTGGAGAAACAGCCAGACGACGAATTATTATTTTCTTTGATGTTAAAATGGATAGTTAAGGTCGTAACCTATTAAAATTATGCTCATTTTGTGTCACTTTCATTATTTCGCAAGCGTCTTCCATTTAATTAATTAATGTGTCGGTTTTAGGACTTGATTTATCCGACAGTTTAATTTGTATATTTTAGTTATTTTAGAATAGGAGAGGTATATTTTATTAAAGTAGACGGTAGGGGTAATATAAGAAAGGATTGGCATCAGTTTCAGTTACCTACATATTATATTTTAGACCATATTACATAGGTAGTAAGGTTTCTGACTTTTTTTACTATAATGTGATGTAGCTTGCAATTTATCTCCCATTTCAGTTAAAGCAGAGTTATCCCACTCCATGTGAGAAAAACATTAGGTACATAACATCCTATTAAATTAAATTAAAATTAAAAATTTGGAGATTAAGCAGAACTTATGTTGATGATTAGTAGGCAAGTTAAAAGCTGCCGTGAAATATACTATACCTACTGTTTTCATTCATTCATTCATTCATTTATTGTTTCGTAATAGTTTTCTTCTACCTAAGTAAGTACCGCACATCCTATTCTAAACAAGTGCACATGGCACTCATTTTCAGAAACTTTCATCAATAACAAACTAATGTTAATTTTAGTAATACTCAGATGCTCACTCATTGTTTAGTTTCTTAACTTTCCGCAATACTACTAAACTTAGCAAAAATAATTCTTGGACGGATTTGTGATTCATTAGTGTAGGCGTTGATGCAATGTCCGGAAAAACAAGAAGCTTTCTTTATTATTAGGCATCAGAATCATCATAAAGTATTTTAAATTAGGCTAAGATTTTTACACCCAGACTCGGAATAACAATTTTTGGGTCATAACAAAAAGTTATTCGAATCGAACTCACGACACGATCCGCGGCAGCCAGTTGCCCAGAAACCGCGCGAACCGTGCAGTTTACCTACACTGTCCGATAGGTCAGTTTTCTTTAAATAATATGCAGTTTCCTTAGTTTCAATTAGTTCAAATAGAAACATTTTTGAATCTATTGTTTTAGCGTCTTACAAAACCTCCACGAAGAGTTGCGCCAATAATAAAAAAGCAAGAGCAAACAATATATATAGGTACCTATTATCCACCTATAACGCTTAATAATATCGTAACCGTTGTTTTTTTATAATAAATGATCACGTTGGGCGTGAGGGCGTCGGACGCGATCAGCGACGTACATTCGAGCATTATACCTATTTATTACAGTCCAATGTAGCCGTTCTCATAATAGATCTGTCTCTACGAGGGTACAGGAAGAATAATAAACAAAGAAGGGTCATTAAAACAGCTATTTTGGAGCGTCTACGAAGTCTACGCGTCTGGTGCGCGACCAACTAGCGAAAGACAATCGACGCTGTTGCGTGCCCGCCGTAATTCAAGCGCTTTCCACGAAAATCTGTTTAAATTAATTCGCGCAATTAAAATTAGACATGCTTCGGCATCAATGTTACCCTGCCGCAGCCGTACGTTTCTTATCGGAGTCGTCGAAACCATATGTACTATATGTAGGTATTTTGATAAGCTAGGCACAAAAAATAGCCTATACCTACCGTAATCTCTCAAAAGCAGCGCTTGCCATATTTCATAATTAATTTATTAAATTAAATTAAAAATTAATTAACTATGTGGATACTGGAGGCATCATGCTTGTCTCTCATCTAGAATCTTCAAAAGACCGGTAACGTACTTGTAACTCCTCTGATGTTGTGGGTATGTACCTAATGGTGGCCCTGTGGTGCTCATCTTCATGTGATCTGTGTGTCGTTTCGTTAGTCGTACCTAGCAAGTTTTCAAAACTTAAAAATAAAATTGGTCGGTAAATGACGACGACGTAACAAGTACTTAACTACTTTTTTGAGCGGCGAAAACAAGGCGAAAATCATCTAATTGTATCTGTGTCATCTGTGTGTGTACATAAAAAATATGAAGTACTTTCCCCGCCTTTGACTTGCCCTGGGTCCCGACCCAGAAAGAGGGAGTGCCAGACTCTTGACGCACTGCACTCTGACTAACTAGGTATACTTAAACAGCATCGTTCCTTTTTCTGTTCCATTCCAGGCCGAGCCGCAACATATCGCATCCACGAACCCTGGCTTGAAGTTGGTCTTCGTGTTGCGATATCACAAGAGTATCTATGCAGATCCCTACTTAGGATAAGCATGTACACTTAGGTAATGTCGTGGTGGCCCGGAGGTTAACGAGCCCGCTTCTCATGCATGAGGGTGTGGGTTCGAAACCTGGCAAGTACCAATGTGACTTTTTCCGAGTTATATGTACGTACTTTCTATGATTATTTAGTTAGACACCACTGACATGCGGTGAAGGTAAACATCGTGAGGAAACCTGGACTTATAATTTCTAATTATAGGATTGAAATCGCCAACCCGCATTGAGCAAGCGTGGTGATTAATACTCTAACCTTCTCCGTATGAGAAGAGGCCTTTGCTCAGCAGTGGGCACTTATAGGCTGATGATGATGATGATGAGTACACTTAGGTACATCAAATCAATGGGGAGAAGCATAGGCTTTGTTTTATATTAGTACATCGGATGATCGGAAACCCTAGGTATATATTTAGATATAGTAATTGGGTAGTATAGGTACATACAAGAAACCTGTTATATTAAAAGCGCTCGTGTCTCTTGTAGCTCGCACCGCATAATATCTGGCACGACAATGAGATCGATGCATGCGATGTATTTATATTAGAGCATACTTTATTGTTATGCAAGTCCTACGGGCACTGGGTCGACAACCTCATAATTGCTGACTACATTGCATCTTCATATCTGTCTGTCTAAAATAGAACTAATTATAAGTATCGCAGCCAACTCAGAAATTTTCTTTTAATTAACGGCCTGTTCTGTTTATACGCAGTAAGTACCTACTATTCTTGTAGCTTTTTATTTCCCACTTTAGTTTGAAATCAACTACGGGTGATAAGTAGTTCCTGCTTCAGGCCGAAGCCGCTGCACCTTATTGCGCTTGCCCCACAACTCTGGCCCATCTGTGATGGTCGTTGGCTCTCTGAGCGCGCGGGACGCTACACGCCGTACGCTCGGGTCTGGGTCGTGGTCTCGTCGGGCAGCGAGCTAACTTAGCTTGCTGTCCGCAGAAGCCTCGACTAAGACCGGACTTCCCTGAGGACACGGCGGACACCTTGTCCTCTGTGTGGACCTCATAATGACGACACCCGGGCGTTTCCTCCCGCCGTGATTCGTCCTTCTGAAGCTTCCGTGTCCGGTAAACACCTGCATCAGGCAGAAGATGAGGACCCCATGGTGTGTCTTTAGCCACACTTCAAAGAAGGGTCTTACCGCTGCAATAACATTGTGTCCGAACATTAGGTAAGGTAGGTTTCTGGAGGACAGTACGGCCGACGTATCTTGGCGAGTCTGAAGTTAGCCGTTTGTCTGCGCAATGGATCTTTTAGGAACAAAATTGTGTACTGCGCAGCTAATCGGTAAGATACGTTGGCGGTATTGTAATTATGAAGCTCGGTGTCGATGAACATCCCTTAACCCTTCAACTGTCGATCTAGATGAGAAATCCAGCAATTCAATTCAATAAGCATCTTTATATTTTGTAGCTGTGAAAAGAAAGTAACACACGGATAAACTGTAAAAAATCTTTTATTTTAAAATCACAATACTTAGTATTCTAGTACATATTCATAGACTATGTATAAATTGTATTCATTGTACAATTATTATGGTATTGTAAAGAAGGTATTATTTAGCACTCCCTTTATTGAAACATTTAACAAGCAAATAGTAAGTCAATAATATTCTATGAGAGACATAAGTATTATATATTTCAGTTTGCATTATCTCATCAAAGTATTACTTCACTAAAATTTTACGTGACCTACACCCAAACTTAAAAAATTTTTGAATAATTATTGCCCAGAATTTACAGCAACAAAATATTCAGAATAAACATCATTGCCAACATTCATAAATAAATATTTAATTGAGCTTCTTACTACCTATTATAGCGACGGATTTACAAGGCAAAATGGAGTTATACTCCTGCAATCTTTAAGTAGCCATGAAAATTATAGCCTCTATTATATTATTTTAAAGTATTAACATTGTATCTTATATATTTCAATATTCTAAATAGTTTCCAAGTGTTCAAGTAACAAGTGTATTAATTTCAAATCTGATACATTAAGTGAATGAGCAACTGATTATTAAAATCTACTAATATAGTAGGATTATTTTACACTAGCAACAATTGAATCATCTATTATTTATAATTCTGCTATTAGATAATCTCAATATGATGAGTAAGGCACGGTAAAGATGAGCTACAGCACTGCGTTTATTGTATATTTTATAGTTTTTATAGTATTTCTTGAGTAATGGGTAACGGTCCTTCCATTCTATTCCATTACTGTCACAAGTGTCCTTTTGTCACAAATCATAGTTGAAGTAGTTGTGTCTCCTCTCCAAGTCTCTTATCTCCACAATGTCTGCCTTCAATCTCAACTTGAGTATCTCCCTCCATATTGCTTCCCGATGTTCCTTGTTCATAATTCCCATGCGTAGCAGCGTGTTATCATTAATTCTTACTAAAGCTCTGCCTGTGATGTCATGCTGGAATAATTGATAAATAAATTTTAAGGTAGGTAAGAAAATGTTTTTTTTTTAATGTCCCTTATTTCTGTTTACCATGTGTTTTCAGTGTAGGTATCAGCATATGAAAAAAAAAAAAAAAAAATTTGGTATTGGTACTATCTCTGCAGTTTTATCGCCATAATTAGATATTTACCTCATGGAATTTCTCCCAGTACAGATTGTAATAATCACTGCAGTGTCGTCTTAACCATTTCTGTACATCGGCCTCCGTCCACAAGTACACCGCTTTGGGGCGTGTTGTTTTTGTCTGTAAGAAAAATGTATTACATTCATGTTTAATATACCTTCATTAACAACTTATAATAAGAGCTGTGGCATATAAATTTATCAACATAATAGAGGACAAGCATTGAAAATTAAGTCATCAAGGCTGTTAGTGCTTGTTTACCTTTGATTTGTTAGAATTCAGACTTGAATCCTCAACCATTTTCGTAACTTTAAACTATGTTTCCAGAAGATCCTGTGCGATATTTACATTTATTGAATACAAGACTAAGAGAGAGCGTCTTTCGTCTATTGCATTACTTTAAAAATCAGTTCAATTTATTATTAGAGAGTTTGCAATAAAGGCAACGACGAATGAAATCAAGCAACTCAATATTTATGAAATTGACGCATAGTGATTGTTTCTTTGACGTTGACATTGACATTTAAACTTTTATTAAGTTTGGATTGGTTTGGATACATTTTAAACAGCACTGACGAAATTCCCGTCGGACTTTCGTCGGTAGTGGTGAAGGATACGCACGTGTTTTCTCAGTACGACGATTGTTATCAATTTTAGTGATCTTTTTCATAGTGATCTGAATTGAAATCCCGTACATTGTGTGTCGTTTAATTGGGTGATTGTTTTTAAATTGTGTGTGTGTATTGTCTAAGGTAATATTATAAAACTTTACCACTTATTTCCTCTCCTCACATCCCTCAACTTTTTAACATGGACGAGGAGAAACCTCCTGATCCCCCTGATAAATCTCCAGACCTAAAACCAATTTTAACCGTTTCGCTCCCTCATGATGACCCGGAAATTGAACCCATGGATTCCGATACAAACCAGAGTAAAAGGAAGAGACCAGCAGGTTCTCCCCCTATCTCCCAAAATAATCCTCCCAAACTGGCAAAAAGCATAAATGGCAGGCAGGTTTACACTGAGACAGATAACCCACCATACATAGTTTATGTTTCATTGAAGGACTCCATCCCGTTAAATTTGGTATGTTTCTTACGAAAATCAACGTAAGAAATGTAAAAATCGGCGGAGTTAAAAGGCTGGGCAGAAACAGAGTGTCGGTTGAGTTTGTGTCGCATCAGGACGCTAACAGTTTTTTAGTGAATTGTGTGGTTGCGCAAAGCTACAATACCTCAATCCCACAATTTAATATAACGAGAATGGGCATTGTGAGGGACATCCCTGTTGAATGGACCGAGGAAGAGATTATCTGTAATATTAGGGTTCCCGCTGGATGTGGGATTGTAATTAAGGCAAGGAGGATGAATAGGAAGGTTACTTCTTTAGACGGAACAGAATGGAGGCCTACCCAGACTGTAGTCCTCACCTTCGATGGACAAGTACTTCCTAAAAAAGTGTTTTGTTTTTATTCATCTCTTCCGGTGGAACTGTATTCATATCCAACAATACAGTGCTACAACTGTTGTCGGTTCGGACATACCCGCACACTCTGCCGCTCGAAACCGCGCTGCTTTAAGTGTGGCCAGGATCACCCTGGTGACGGTTGCAAAACACCAAATGAATTTGCTCATTGTGTTAATTGCAATGGCAATCATTTCGCAAACTACAATGCCTGCCCGGAGCTAGGCCGCCAGAAAAGCATCAAGTCTTTGATGGCGGAGAAATCAATATCATATGCAGAAGCAAGTCAAGTGTTCCCTGCTGTCAAAAGGTCCTATGCCGAGGTTTCTAAACCAATTAACCAATCTGTATCATCACCTGGTAAAAAATCATCTTCCCAACCAAGAGCATCTTATAAAAAAACAGTGCTCCTTAAACCAAAATCCCATGCTCCTCTCTCACCGAGTTATGACAAGAAGGCCCATCAGGCCCTTACTCATAACTACTCCTTTTCCCCATCCAAAAACGGTTGCGCCTTCCCTATGGAATCCGGAACCAACACTCATAGCTCTAACAATATACTAAATGTAATTTCTAACATGTTGATAGCAGCGTTATCAAACCCTGCCCAAGTTTTACCGGACCACGTTGCACATAGAATAGCCACAATCTTAGATTATATTTATAAAATTCCTACCCCTAACCATTCTTCAGTGGAATGTGAGGAGTACTCTTCCCAGGAAGAGTGACTTACTCCATTTAATAAACAAATTTAATCCAACAATTTGTGGCATTGCTGAGACATGGTTACAACCGAACATTAATTTCGGGATACCATGTTTCAGCGTAGCCAGACATGACAGATCTGATGGTTATGGAGGTTGTGCTTTGTTAGTTAATAACAAAGTACCCTTCACCCAGATCCCTCTACCCTTTGTTGACGATGACATAAATGTTGTCGCTATTAAGGCTGAGGATATAAATATTTTTATGTTTTATATTGCCCATCCACATATTGAACATATTATTTTAATAAAAAATTTATTAACTTCTGTGGGTGGCCCGCTTCTAGTAATGGGCGACTTCAACTGTCATCACTACAGATGGGGTTCAGAAACATGTAACAACATAGGTACAGAATTAGTGGAAATGCTGGATGAACTTAACTTGTGTGTCATTAATGATGGTAGCCCTATCCGCACGCCTACACTTGGTCAAAGAAGCAGTTGTGTGGACTTGACCTTCTGTTCGTCTGGGATGGCTAGCTTGCTGAATTGGTGTCGTTTGGATATGACCTATGGTAGCGATCACTATCCCATCATAATCAAAAACCCAGCGAAATCCATTCCTGATAATCCCCTCCCTCCCCTTTTAAAATATCGCTTGGACTCCGCGGACTGGAACCTTTATTCAAGGTTAGTGGACCACCGCATTTCTTTCCTTCCATCAGTTAGTGCTGAGAATGCTTTGGAGTGTTTCCAAAAGTTTTCAGACCTGATAACCTCCACAGCAGAAGACTGCTTCCCTGTGAAGAACCCACCAAAAAGAAAAATCCCTTCCCCTCCATGGTGGGATAGTGAGTGCACTGCTATGATCAGGGCCAGGAATGAAGCTGAAAAGATATACAACCATGAAATGAACCTGGAGAACCTCCTTAACTTCAAACAGATATTGGCTAAGTCAAGGAAATTGTTCAAAAGGAAGAAGAGGGAGGGGTGGAAAAAGTTCTGTAGCTCACTGTGCCCATCCACACCAAGATCCATGGTGTGGCAGAGAGTGAAGAACTTCAGGAACTCCACTAAACCTCCAACAATTACTACCTTACCTGAGTTTTTAAAAAATAATTTTTTTAATAACATTGCTCCATCATATGTTCCTGAAAAAGAAGAATGCTGCCCGAGTCCCTATGAGGAAACACAGGACCCACTTGATATGGACTTCTCAATTGAGGAACTCCAATCGGTTCTTAGTCACGTGAAGGACTCAGCACCTGGGGTCGATGGGTTCCCTTACTCATTTTTAAGTAAAGCAGGAATTAAAACTAGACAATACTACCTTGACTTGGCAAATTTTTGTTTTTCTTCCGGTTATATTCCTCCGGCTTGGAAGGTTCAGGTTGTCATGCCTCTGTTAAAACCTGGCAAAGACTCCGGTGATCATTTATCCTACAGACCTATTGCCCTATCATCTATCCTTATAAAAGTCCTTGAGCACCTTGTTAAAAACCGCCTTGAATGGCTGGTAGAAAGCAGGAGGCTGCTTCCGGCGGCTCAATTCGGCTTCAGGAAGGGTCTGGGTACGGCTGATAGTGTGGGTACCCTCACTTCAGCCATCCGACTAGCCTTTAGCCGGGGGGAGTCGTTGGTCGCGGTCTTCCTAGACATTTCTTCAGCTTATGATTCTGTACTCTTACCCCTTCTCAGGCAGAAACTGCAAGAGCTGAGAATCCCGAGTAGGATTTGCCGAATTATAGGCTGCATCCTCTCCAACCGCCCCCTCCAATTAAGAACTCCTGAAGATGAACCTGTCCGGAGAATCGCCTGGAGAGGTTTACCTCAGGGTTCAGTCCTTAGTCCCATCCTCTATAATATTTACACCCATGATCTCCCCTCCTGTCTAAATTATGATTGTAATGCCCTCCAATACGCCGACGATATCGCCCTAATGATCACCGGCAGTTCTATAACGGACGCCGCCCTTTCCATGAATGTCTCTTTGGCCTCATTAAACCAATGGCTACTGGATCGTGGGTTGTCTTTAAGCGCCCCAAAAAGCGCAGCTGTCATTTTTACACGCAGGCGTCACACACCGGATATTCGTATAGAAATTGATGATCAAGCTATTCCAATCAAGAGTTGCGCTAGATTTTTGGGAGTTATCCTCGACTCGAGAATGTCTGGCATGGATCACGTGAACGCTGTGGTTGGAAAATGCGAACGCTCGGTTTCTATACTTAGAGCTCTGACTGGGGTGTGGTGGGGTGCTCACCCGTACACATTGAAGCTAATATACAATGCATTGGTCAGAAGTGTAATGGACTATTGCTGCTACCTTATTGCCCCCTGCAATAAGGAAGCACTGAAAAAACTAGATTCCATTCAGGCCAAATGCCTTAGAATAATTATTGGAGCTATGAAGTCCTCCCCCATAAACGCTCTTCAGGTCGAGTGTGTGGAACCCCCCCTCGACCTACGTAGACAATACCTGGCAGACCGTTTCGTCTCAAAAGTCCTTTCCTTTTCCGCTCACCCCCTACTCCCTATTTTAGAACAAATTAACAGTTCCTACAGTTCCTCTTCATACTGGAATCATAAACCCACCCCTCCTGTGATTGTTCGGTATAGAGAGCTTAAAAACCTCCCTGCACCTATCAGTCAATTCCCTGTACTCCCTGTCTTCTCTTCTGCATATGAAGTGATTCACTTCAGGCCAAAGCTTGTCTTGGATCTTGACATCTCAAAGTCCTCGGTGAACGCAAAGGTGGAATTCAAACATGCGTTGGACAAATATTGGAGGGGCTGGAATGTATTCTTTACGGATGCTTCCAAATTGTCCCGAAACGGATGCACGGGAGTGGCGGCGTATTACCAAAATTCAAGAATCGCGCTGCTCTCTAAATGTCCTCCCCAGGCCTCTGTGTTCACTGGGGAATGTGTTGGCATCTTAGAAGCGATACAATTTATTAAAGCTCACAACCTTAACAATTCTGTAATTTTCTCAGATTCTCGAAGCAGCTTACAGTCTCTGAGCCAAGACCAACTCCATTCTCGAACAAATAATAGTTTAGTTATAGAAATTAAATCTTTGCTTTTTTCTTGCCACATAGATGGATTAAACGTTGAGATCGCCTGGGTTCCTGGCCACGCTGGTATATGCGGTAACGAGTGCGCGGATACATTGGCAAAGTTTGCAGCTACAAACGATGTCGAGCGACGTCACTACATTGTGTATGGATATGACTTACGTTCTGACACCAAACACAAGTTGTTCAGCGAGTGGGATGCAGTGTGGGCAGAGTCCTCCAAACGGAAGGGTACCTATTACGCAAATATCCAGTCCGGCATCCGGCGGAAGCCTTGGTTTTGCAGATACCCTAGGTTTTCCCGACAAACTGTTGCGTCCTTATGCAGACTTAGACTCGGACACTGCTGTAGTCCGGTATTCCTCAACAAGATCCGTGTTCGTGACAGCTCGCTGTGCGAATGCGGTCTTGATGAGGGGACCTTAGATCACATATTCTTTTCCTGTTCCCTAAATTCTCAGTCCTTCGACCTGTATCAAAAGCTTCCCAGCCTCCAAATCCCTCTCCCAATTAATTTCCACTCCCTACTAACCTTTTTTTCAAATAAGTTGATAAAATACCTTTCCCAATTTGTCTCCCAAAATAATATCAAAATATGATGGTGTGTGATATAAATTATAATGTATATACCTATCTCCTTGTCTATTGTATACCCTCTCCCTATGACTGTCTATGTTTAATTAAAATTCGTATAAATTAATTGTATATTTATCTATGTTAAATGTTTACTAACCCAAGTGTGTTGTCTTTCTAGCTACTAACAATAAACTACCGCAAAGTCAATGTTCGACGGGTCTTAAAACTGCCGTCACCCGTCACAACTCGACACTGGCAGAATAGTCGACAACATTGGAGACTCAGTTGCCATTAAGGAGAAAAAAAAAAAAAAAAAAAAAACAGCACTGACTTTTAAAACGATTGAAATAATATATTTTATATGATTGCTTATTTTTTTTAGTAATATGATTTAAAACTGAAATAAGACAGTACATCAAATTATAAAAGAAGTCATAAATTAGGGTTCTAAAGTTACTGATGTAGTTTTTAGGATATCTTAAACTTGCAACATTTAGATAAGCGGCTGTCAACTGTCACTAAATTATGGTAGAATTTGTTCTCATGTCATATAGAAAAAATAAAACGATTCAGTGATAAATTCCAAGCAAGAATCAGAAAATGTTAATGTAAAATTATCACAATGGCACAAAATTTACAGAAAAAGCCCTCTAAGGGCATATTGAAGACCTCACGGAGTGTTGACGGACAGGATACAGCGGCTTCAGGAACGCCATCAACTAGCAAGCGCACGAAAGAGCAAAGATTCGACGAGATGAATATTATGGAAACATTTCATCCGGCGAACAAGGATTACGGACATATGAAAGTAGACGAGCCTAAGACTCCATATTCAGAAGCCGTGGACGGTGACTTGGTGCCTACTGACGAATTAGACGCCAATATACTTGCGGCCAAACTAGCGGCGAGTATGAATAGGCCGCCTAGGTGCGTGGAAGCCGAATCTAGTGCCAGTGACGAGGACATGGAGGAACCTGAAGAAGAACGCCGCAAGAGAATTGAGTTTGAAAAGAAGCGGAAAATGCACTACAATGAATTCCAAGTGAGTAGTTACTGCAGAACATTTTGTGGGTGTGAGCTAATGGTTAGGTCATCCTTTACAGTAGTACACTACTTTCTGAATTTACAAGCATTTGCTAAAGTAGGTCAGTTCAAAAGACATGGTTACAACTTCACCTGATGTTATTGATGCATCTATCTTAAACATTATTCAAACACAATTCTCAAGTTTAATGAAACCAATTGCCATGGGTAATTATTATATTGCTTGCCATAAATAGGAGTAGGTATGCCATTGTGACTGTTAATTAGTATGCCAGTTGTAGACTGTGCAAATGGCAATGTCCAAAGTAATGTGTACATTAATTACTGAACATTACAGTATACACTTCTATGACAACAGGTACTGCACACAATATTGTATCATCAGTAAGCAAAAATACTGAAATAGATCTTTAAAACTAACTGTTACATACTATTATTATTATTTTGAAACACTAGTTCTCAAAATAATACATATTTAACTTGTTCACATACATAATTATACACAGGAGCATGTACATATCTATAAACTACCCTATAAAATATCCTTAAAATGTTGATATTGTTTGTTTCTTAGATAACCCTACTTGTCTGCATTAATTACTCATCATCAGTGTTTGCCATCTGCTGGCCATGGCCTCTCCAAAAGCACAACTAATGCCCATTATTGACAGAAATTAGTTTGTCCCAGTGACCAGAATTTTGATATTTTTTTTCCCGTACAAAAACTTGCAAGCATATTGAACAGATATTAATATCTAATTATTGAGTGTACGCTCACAGTGACTTCCATAGTTCATATAGAATTTGTATTCAGCAAGTCTCCTGTTTGTTTCCTTTTTAGCGTTGTCAAGTTATAGTTGAGGTATCATACAATAGTTAATAGAATATGGAATAGATAAAGATTTTGACAAAAATGTAAAACACTGATTTCTAAAAATACTTCTTATTTTTTTTCTTTTACTATGTGCCTAAATTAAGTATATTACCTAAGAATAGAGTAGTATAATTTTATTGGTTTTGTACCAATAAATAAATAAATAAATACTTGTCACTACCTACAGATCATTTCCAACTAGCCAATCTGGATCAAGTTACCTATATTCAGAAGTACTTAAATCAAGAATATTTTTGACTGACACAATGAAATAATAAGATATTTTCCAAAAAAAAAATAATAAAAGAGGATTAGAGTAGACTGTTATTACTTTTATTATACCAAGAATTAGATTGCAAGATAGCAATTCTAGCTATCTGATTGGACGTAAACCATGCCATGATAAGTTGGCATGCTAATGCAGTATTATCTTTATTCAATGTAAACTTATCTAAATTATGTCATTGATTTGTATCATCAATATTCAATACAATTAGCTATTTATGTACAAATAAAAATTTATTTGTATTATCTTGATAGCTGTTGTAATGCCATTGGTTGTTATTTATTTTATTTGAATGACAATTTTCATAGTACAATCATTCCTTCTACACTTTTATAAATGGCAGCTGGATAATAAGAAGTATAATCTGTCATAAAACGCCTCACACTGCTACATGATCAGATGGTCACATGATGCACTGTGCTGTACATTGTGTAATTTGCCTGATAAGCTGCACACATCTCGTTAAGATCTTATTACATCCAGAGGTTAATGTATGTGAGTGATCTCTTGACCTAATCATGTGTTTGACATCTTGCTATGTGATAGTCAACAACATCATGACTATATCTTGCAAATGTGGTTTGATGAGATTCCTTCAACTACAGGACTATTTAAATAATGATTCTGCCAGGAAATAAATCCCTTTATAGAAATAGGTTCACTATTATTAATATGTGCGTAAACTACTAGGGAGTTCTTAGTTAGTTTTTTATTGTTAATAAAACAGCATTCTTTACAAAAGGAACATTTATTCCAGGCACTACAACTAGCGCGGCAACTGATGGCACAAGAAGAAGATGAAGATGAGGATCAGCCTGAACAGAATACCTGACTGCAGCACATGCAAGCACTTGTACATAACATGCACCATGGCTTCGAGCGAGCATCGACCACTGCGTAGACCAAGAAGTATCTTTTCAAATCAAACCAGGGATACTTTACAAACACCCGCACATCATCAAACACCATTTACTCCCCATCCATAGTAATCTAATCATGGATGACATGCATGGTTCCACACCCCGGTTAATGTGCCCCTGTCTTTACCTTTACTAGAACCACCTTTATTAGAAATCCTTATTCAGGGTTAATAATGGTTTTGGTGAAGAATCATGTAATGTCTTACAATATTTTGCCTTTAAAAAAGAGATCGATTTAATGAACTTAGTGTGTATAATAACACAAATCTGTTGTGATGAGCTCAAATACTCTGTTTTACCACATAATTGTTGTGGGCACTTTCCTTACATGTATTTAAACACGTAAAGAAAGTCCACACATACAAGTAGTTGTAAATGAGATTACTACTCATTTTTATGTGTATAACAGTTTAATCAAAGAAGCAACATTCATAAAGAGTGAAATCAGTTTTTATTACTATACTACAAGTACATTATTTGAATTATATTTTTTTTAATCAATGAGTTGGAATGTGTTTTGTATAGACAATTTGAAGATAATATATAACAACTCGTTAATAAAATTTGCCCCAAATGTCCGAAAACTATATTATACACTTCTATATAATGTATACTGCAATAAAACTTTATTCTAAATTACCAAATGGGGTATTTAATAAAATTGCTTATGTAATAGATGGAGCTCTATAAATGAACAATACACATAAACCAATTAGGTCATGCAAGCTGTTATGTTAACAGCTCTTGTGTCATGTTATAATAAAAATCGGTTGCACACTTTCTTTCATAAGAGTTAGTAAATATTGTACGTAATAAGTTAAATGATAGTTGTAAACTAAAATATAACACAATGTGTTCTTAAAATACGCCCTGGGCATCGCATGTTCCTTTCGGAGTTTCAAATGAATTTTAGATGTGCTAACACAAATCAAGGTTGTTACCAAAGCGAATTATTAACCATGTACTAAAAATGTTTCATGCGGCCCTGTCTACTGAGCCATTATTATTGTTCATCACGATTTTACGTAGTCTGGCTTTTTCGTGACAATACTAGCAATAAAAATGCCATATTTACAATAGCCCATAGAATATAGACCTATACTGTTATATTGAATGTATAAACACTAAAAGATATGTGATATCTTTGATTACTTTCTGATTAGGATATAAAATACATAGTTTTCAAATCTATGTTTACCTATACTTTGAAAATTTATTCTAGTTGCTTTTATAACTTGTAAAACACAGCGAGCTTGAAGCCAGACTCTTACACCCGGTTTCTGGAAGGCTTGTCAACACTAAAATTAACTAATCTTCTGTTAAATCTCTTGTCAAGTCATATGATTGGTTGTTGATAACTCAGTCAACCAATCAGATGACTTGACAAGAGATTAAATTGATTTTAACATTGATCTGCCTTTCGGAAACCGGGGGTTAATGTGTTTATTCACTGCAATGTATTTTGACTAATGTTTTATTCTGTAGGTTAGATAGAACAGTGTTTTGATTTTGGTAAATGTTAAGAAAGCCCTCTAAGTCCTCGTATGCTCCTATAGTTTTTCAACATTTCAACAATCTTCCATGTTACAGGCTCTAGCAGCTAGATTTGAAAATAAAATTGAATTTTTTGGAAACTTCTTTGAAGCATAAGTATTTTAATTATAATATTAACTTTTGCAATGTTTATTTCAAGTCTACCTGAGAGATATGACCACTTAGAATTAATAGCTATAAGGTCTTATTTTACAAATAAATAAATATTTAAAGTCATTTAACAGAGTATATAAGATGAATGAATATATATTTATATTAAAAATATATCTTTACATTGTATTGTTGAAAATAAAGTAACGTCGTTTTGTGCAACTCGACAGTTGACTCGCGTTTACATTTTGATGTATTTTTTGTATTTTAAGTACTTACTTATCATTATATAGAGCTGTATATGCCAAGAAATAATATTTTGCGCATGAAATATGTGATTTTGAGAATCTGCTTCTGTCTCGAAGATTACTATCAAACTTGATAAATTTCTTTTTCTTTTTATATTCCCGTCGGAAAGTTTTGGTGTAGTGGTATAAAATGATACATTTTGACGAAGTCATACGAAATGAACTTCTAGTTGTTTTATAAGTAGGTGTCTAATTATGAGCACGTCGCATATACTAACGTAGCAAGCAATAATGTCTAAATTATTTAATAAATATATTATGACTAGTCTATTAGACTGCTGTCTGCGACATAATATTAGTTGTGAGTACCTAAGTCTGGACATAATTATTTGTCACCTAAATTATCGCGATAGTTAGATAGAAATACAATTTAAAGTTAGATATAAATATTCCGAGGTCGGTATAGACTGACTTCGCTATCGGGCGTAGACCTAATCGTTCCCATCGTTCTACTGATTCGGAAATTTCATGTATTCTGATACGCGATGCCCAAGTATGTACCTACGTGACTTATATTATAAGAAGTATGTAATAAAATAGACGCTTTGTTAAATTATAAATTACAGGGCTTGTAGAAAATTAATGAAAGTTTAAGAATATATTTTTGAATGTACGAATTGAATATTTTCTATATTTAGCAAGATAGAATGCGAGGTAATTGTTGTTGTTTGAGTAACATTAAGAAGGTTTAATTCACACTGAGTAGTGAATACAGCAGAATAATATTTATTTATACCACATAACAACTCAATTACCGTTTTAATGTATATGCTGGAAATATCATTGTTTATTCATTATAATTGTCTTGTAATTTTTTTTCATTTGTTTCAATGGTGTCGATGCTCGAGCTGAGGACAATAGGAAGCTCAAAGTATTTTTGGTGCATTCATCGCAAATACTATGTGTGTTAATCAAAGTCATTTCAGTGTGAATTAACATCAATCAGGGATGTGTTTATGAATGCTCATTAATTTTAAAGTGTTTATAAAATCAATAGCACATTTCAAATCATATTTACCTACTTGTTTTAAAATGTCTAGACGTCGTTCCTTTGCTAATACTTTCAATCTTTATCGCTGTTTCACTGTCTCGTGGCTTTATATTTTTAGCGTGCATTTAATATTCAACTTTTTGTTGTGCCGTGTTTCTGGTAAATTTTACTTTTCGCTCGTTTGAAGCCATGCAATAATGTCTACGGGCCAAAAATTTATGAATCGCTTCGTGACTAATGTTTCGCGTGTGTATGTCGAATAGTTTTTGTATTTTTATTACTTAAAACAATAATATACAAAGCAATATTTATAAAATATTGTGTTATTCGTTCACACATACCGTGCATTGGCCTTATTCGAAGTTAAGTTGTTGCATTTTATAATAGCAATTGTACAGAAGCGGCTTTTCCTAAAGTGTATGTGTAAATAGTAAATAAAATGTAAAACTTTATCAATGTGTTTATTCATTCGTTATCCAAACTTTACCTCAAAAACACCAAAATGAGCTAAGTACCCCACACATAAGTAGGTACATACGTAGATACCTACTAGTCCTACTACCTACACAAGCCTAGTATGGCGCTTGTGGCCACTGGTACCTCCGAGACAGAGTATGGAGAAGACTAAGTGACACCTCAGTCTGTCAAGGCTGGGCGCCACGATTGCTGTGGAGTGTGGTTACTCGGAACTTATTCCTTGCACCCTCGGAGCCATGAGTGACCTGGGGATACTGGCGTGGTTTATAGTCAGTAAGAATATAATATTCCCCTTCGTTATCAGGCTATCCTATAGCCAAGAGAGTTTTCTAACTTGGGACAAATATATTATCCAGTGGACATCCCAATGGAAAAATAATGGCAATTTTGTTTCCACTTGTTATTTGTCAGTTTTATTAATCTAATTACCTACTGCAAATCCCTTTCATTTAGTTTTAGGCGTGATGTTGCGTTTTGTTCAACCAATAATAAGATGTCGAAATGAAAAACTCTTATAAACTGAGAGCAACATATTATGTGTAGCATTTTTTCATTTATAATATATAATTAATATTTACAATAAAACTTAGATAAAAAATAACAATTAATCAGCTTTAGAAATTCTTCAATAGCTGACAAACTTACCTAGAAAGCGAACGAAACGTAAGTTTTTAAATGGCGTTTGTATTTTGTTTGAATGACTGAAACGTCGTCTTGACAACGAATTTGGTGGCTTTTATACGAATTCTTGGATTGATTTTAATAATATGAATTTATTAAATTATGGATGATCCCCACCAGATTCCTCCGAATACATCAGAAATTAAGGTACGTTAATCTAAACAAAGTTACTTAGAAATCAATCTCTCGACGAGATATTTATAATTCGTTAAAAATAGTTTAGAGATGCATAGCTGCAGCACCTTACCTGTCTTATTTAAATTCACCTACTTAACTAACAGTTTGAAATTTTTTATTTTTTACTACCTATTTCATTCAAAATGTTTCTACAGCTTACAATTTTCCTTCTACCTTTGACCAATTTTAACACCGTTTATTTATATTTTTTTCTTTATTTTTAGAACATACTTCCGGACGTCGTGCATTCACAACAGATACCCACCGTAGGAAGTGTTACAAATGATACAGAGACAGATATACAACCCACCGAAAACACTGAAGAAAACACAATTTCACATGATGGCCAAGAAAGCAAGACTGAGTCTATATCAGAACATATTCCCTCCAAAATTGAATATTCTACAGATTCTGATCATGCAAGTAGAACACAGGATCTTCTTAGAGTTGAGCCCGAGCAAGAGAAGGCTTCTAAAAATAGTTCCTTAAACTTTCCTGTGCCGCATTCACCTGCTAGTGACAACCCAAGCACTCAAGACCCCAGCAAAGTGAGTGTATCCTTGCCTCTAGATGTTAATGCTGTGTCTGATATCCATCTTTTGAGTGAAGAGAGTCCTGTTAATTTGGCATTGTCATCAGATTTATCTAAAGACACTCATGAGAAATCACAAATGTCAGATCACAATGTGCCATTAAGTAAACATGACAATGATATGCCAAACCTATCTCCTAGAAGTGACAAGTATCTTGATTCTCTAAATGAAGAATCTAGCCACAAATTAGACATATCTCAACATGATTCTGCCGATGTTTCTGATAAGATAGATTCACCTGAGAAAGTGAGTTCAGGATCTGAGGAGATAATAAAGCTTGATATTAGAGGTCAAGGGGTCCCAAAATTTCCTTTCCCAGCTGCTAAAATAATTTTTGGACCACCACCTGAAGGAGGAACTGTTATAGACTCTAATGTTGAACCTATTCCCGTATTCCCAAACTTGTTATCTCCATTCCTTGTTGGTGCTGGAGACAGTCTCAACGTTGAAGAAGTGTTTGATGACCAAGGAGCATATAAAGTGCCATCAGCAGATAAATCTCTTCAACTGTCACCAGAAAAAGAAAGTTTGTCAAGTGATAAAACATTACCATTGTCTGCTGAACAAGTGAGTCTTTCCACTGACAATTCATTACAAATGTCACCAGACAAACAAAGCCTATCTAGTGATAAAGTTGAGGCTGACCTGCTAGTAGAAGAGATAACTGTTGAAGATGAATTAAAGGAAAAGGTCTATGATAAACCTGAGGAGAATTCTATGCCAAAATCAATCCTCCCCGAAGAGACAATGTCTTTTAGCACAATGACAGATTATAAGACTATTTGTGAAGAATATCATGTGAAGGTACTTGTAGTAATACATGGGTTTTGCTTCTGTGTGTGTCTCTGTTTCACTCTCATATGCTTCCTAATACTGCTTCTCACTCTGATGGCATGCTATGTACTAACATTCTACAATATTCACTTCTTGTTATATGAAAACATATCTAAATACTATGTCCATGCATAAGTTTGACCTGGTAAACTTGGTTTAAGTTTTTGTTTATAAACTTGTTTTAAATAAATGGTTTTATTCATCACTTATGTTTGTGGCCTTTAAATATTTCAAAACAGGAAAGATATTTACTTATTATAATATAACATTCTGCTATGCACTGAAATGGTTATTAGCTTTTGCTAAACTTAAGTGTGTGCTATATTTGTAGATAGATATCAATATAAAACCTTGTAAACATGATTTACGTAGCAGCACAAACTTGTGTAGTTTAACTTCCAAGTAGGTTTTATGCATGCAATCTATTTTCTGTACTGATGCACTGACATTAAATTGTCATTTTTGATTGGTATGGAGCTTTTATTTACAGATGTTGTTATTTACTTTTTACAACTGCTATGTATTCTGTAAGTTCATGAAAATGGAAATTATAAGTTTCTATTTCAGTGTCTTTGACTTCAATTTTGCACACATTTTTATGTATTGATTCATTCATTATTATTCCATTGAAATGGGTGTGCATTGGAATACCAACACTTTCACAAACCCTATATAAATGTTTGCTTACTGTGCTTCCATGTGAATGTGTTATGTATTGAACGCTTTCTGTCCTTTCAGCTTGTGCACTTGGAAGACGCTATAACGCAGCGTGACGAATTAATTGAAGAACTGACCATCTCATTACAGCGTTCGGTCCGCGAACGAGATGACCTTAGGCATGAGAATGAGCACTTGACTAATGAAGTGCAGAATCTGCAGCACATTGTTGGAGAGAGATCTCCCTCAGAACATGACACAGTTAAAGCTCAGCTTTCAGACTTTATAAAATATCAAAGTTTGCTCAAAGATGACAGCACTAAGTTCTACTCTGCTGTCATGAGTGGAGGATCCTCATTGCAGAGTTCAAACGGGGAAAAAGATATGGACAGGGAAGAGATAGTCATTAATTATTCCAAGTCTGATTTGCGAATGTCGGACGCATCGGATGACTTCCAGACTGGTTTCGAACACAAATTGACGGCGATCATAAATAAGTTTGATAGTTACATAGAGGAAAACTTGAGAAATAAATTGAGGGAAAGCTTGATTCAAGTGTTATGTGATGAAATAGGTAAGATGAGGATAGACAATGATACTGAAATCAAGGAGTTGGAAGCTCAGCTGCAGAGCGACAAGCAGGCTTTCTCAGTAGAGACGCGGCGGCTGAGGGAACTGCTGGCATCGGTGAAGGCTGGTAATGCAGACATTGATGCACTAAGGCAGGAGTTGGATATCAAACATGAGAAAGAAATGGAGAACTTGAGAACTTATTTCGAAAAGAAATGTTCTGATATGGAAAGAAGGTGAGTTAATGATATCTGATTACTTGTTTATACTTAACATTTTTTGAAATTCATAGAAAATATTAAATACATAACACATTTTCAAATACCCCAGTACCTTAACGTATCCTTGACATTCAGGGAATAATTAATTGGCCAGACTTAGATTAAGTATTTATAGAATAGTTGACGTGTACGATGGTACCTACAACAAGGTCACCATGAAATACTAATTATATGCTATCTCTGTTCGCAACCAAGGCCAAAGCGAAGGTGAGTACTAACCCTTACTAATTATGCATTTCATTTCTATTTTCTTTGTTCTAAGCTCGTCATTGTTGTCTACGATTACGTAACTTAATTTAATAGCCTATACTTAGTTCACTGAAAATATATTTGTATTGTATATCATTTATGTAACCTAAACTTACGCAGTAACATTATAAATACAAGCAAAACGAATATCATAACTTTCCTGCTTTTCATAAAATATTAAATGTATTATTTCTATCTATAAGTACTAGTATTATGAACCGTAACCACAATTCCTTTTCCATAGATTATATTACAGATATACCTACGTTATGTATAGGTACCTAGCATTAATTTCTTCGAAACAAAAACGTTCTAAATTTCAAAAGTTCCACATAAGATTACACTTAATACTAGACAACGAGATTATGGTAATATAAAATGTGGGATAGTTAGTAATAGAAGCTGAGTAACCAGCTTGTTGGGATTCCATTCCCGCAAAGTCAAAGTCTGAAAGTTATTGTCCGAGTGTGGGTGTGATGTGTGTGTAGGTACAGTATGAATTAACGCACTAACGACACAGGAAAACCTAGAAAAAGAACGTAATACAATCCTTATTTGTATTTACTTAATACTACTGCTATATATTAATGTATGTGTATGTATATCAGCTATTCGGAGGAGGTGTGGCGCGACAAGGCGTGCGTGTCGCCGAGTGGGTCGGCGACGTCGCTGGACGCGCCCACCGACGCCGCCGGCGACCATCCACGTCGTCGCAGGCGCAGTGCACAGCTTACCTCACTCAGCTTGGAGGTATTAACATTTAACTACACTACTTTTATTCCATGTTTTACCACATTATATATTTTTATTTTTATGGTACAAGCGATCAGTCGGATTACTTGACGTTAAGCAATCAACGCCACCCATGGACAATTGACAAAGGAGGAATAAGGTGTGCGTTGCTGCTCTTTTGGGGGATTAGGGTTTTGGAGATTTAGGGATTGGGGGAAGGAAACGATTGAACAATGCTCAAGGTCGAAGTCAAAAAATATTTACTGGTATTTTCTTCGCTTGTTTTTTTTCGGTTCTTCGAAGTGTATCTAAATAATGTTAAATTATCCTAATATTAGACCATGATATTCAATAAGAAACATAATTTTTCGGTCTACCTATTGTCCATATACTTTTAGCACCAAAACTCCTAAATCCTCTTTACTAAAAATCATCATACACACGGAACAATATCATACTGACTATAGTGCAAAACTAGAGTATCGAAATGAATGTTTATGTGAAAGCAAATTTATAATGTTGTTCGACAGTCGACACAATTGGAGCAGTCGTTGAAGCACCTAAGCAAAAAGTATGAGCAACAGATAGACGAGATGAAGGCAGAACACGTCGCCTACGTGAACGAGCTACAAGCTACGCATAGGGAAGCTATCGCATCGCTGGACGAACAGGTCAGCTATCTTGATAAAATCTCCTCTAATGCGAGAAAGAGCGTCAGACTTACTGACTTAAAACCAATCCCTTTCTGCTAGACGGCAGATGATGTAGGTACATCATGGAGATCACGCTTAAAACCCCGAATATTATAAAGCTAGACTTTGTTTGTTTATTTAATATATACTACTAGCTACTCTCGCGTGGTTTCACCCGCTGCTCGGCTCCTTTTAATCGTAGCGTGATGTTTTATAGCCTATAGCACTAAGGAACATTGTAGCTATCTATCAGTGAAAGAATTTTGGTAATCCGGTTAGCGGTTCCAAAGATTACCCCCTACATACAAACTTACAAACATACAAACTTACAAATTTTACCTCTTTATAATATTAGTATTGATTTACACGAATTGAAAGGGCTTTTGGCTGTTTACCCATCTAATATTATATCTAGCTAATTAAGCGGCGAGTACAAAACCGTGCAGGATCCCCTATGAGGGTAGGGGGTTTACTTACGGAGGAAACCTTCAAAAACCGCCTAGCATTCGAGAGAGAGTGTGGAAACCCAATATCACTAAAACCACCCGCTCTGGCTACCTTCAGCCTGTAGGAACATCGATCATTTTAGATCTTGTGGATAGAAAAACTCCAGAAATTTTAATATATCTAGCATAGTCTTTCCACATAGTAGCAAAGTAAATATGCAGTTATGTTATGAGCCCGCTGCAATACTGGTGATCTGCTGAAGTGTCATTTTGCTTTTCAAAACGTTGCCTCCAATTAGGCTCCTATTTCTTGGTCGCGTTTACATGCAATTTCACATACACCTCACACCCAGAACAACACAGGAACAACAAGTTGTGGATCACACAAATAATCCTCCTGTTTGGAGATCAAACCCGCGTCAACAGTTAATTTAGTTTCGTGGATCGAAAAATTTTTGTATCGTGATTCCAATAGCTGTCTTAAAGTCTAAATAAGAATATTCTTGACAGATAACTCAACTGAAGGCGCACATACAAACAGCGGAGAACACTGAGACGAACGTGTCTCTCTACCAGCAGGACATTGACCTCGAGCTGGAAAAGGTTAGACCTAGCTGCTAATATCTGTACAGAAACGCACATCAAGCTACCCCAATCAGAGAAATTTCAAAAGATTTTCAACCTTATAGCCTTCGTAATGAAGTCGATGTTTGGGGTAGCTTTACGTGCGTGACGTATGTACGTGACTGTCACTGAATGTCGTGCAGTGTGTCCCCGTTACATTTGATGTTGTGAACCTAACTCGTTATCTATTTGTTGCTTTAATAACTCAACAATATTACAATTAAACTTTTATCCTTTATAAATTTAGTTACTTGTCTCAAGCGATAGATGTCGCTACCAGTTTGATGTGATATCGATTAAAATCTTTTCGTATTGGAAAGTATACCGCCTTTACACAGGCCTTCATAACTGGATAGATATTATTTATTTACTAATACAATGTTGTGTATATAACTGCATGCAGGGGAAAGACGTCCAAGCTTACGGTAGCCTGAGGTAATCTCTCCTGTGGCTGTTCAATTTCCTTCTTGATAATGTAAAATAGACCTTATGACCGGGACTATACTATCCAAAATCAAAAAGTCGATGCAAAAACATTTTCGTCATTCATTGCAAACACACTATCATTCATTCAATTCTGTTCCTTGTGTATTTAATGTAGAGGTTATTCTCCTGGCTCCAAAGATATAGTCTCGAGTCTAATACGATCACGGAAAGAATGAGATACTTAAAGCACAATAAACTATTGTAAATATCACAATTTAATATTAAGACACTTCTATAGACAAAACGAAAAGGTCTAATTTTCTATGGCACATTTTGTTACTACTAAGGTTGAATAGCAAATGTAGGATGGATGAAAAACCAGTTATAGGGTTTCTAAATAAGTCCACATTGTTTTAATAGTTAACCCTACATTTTATTAAGGTGAGGATAAAAAAAAGAAAAAAAAGAAAATTTTACTTTTGTCATTACTACATCTTCTCTTAATAAAAACCAATTCATATTAATTTCTTTCTAAACATACAGAATCATACATAAACCATAGTACTTGTAAAAATTCATTTGGTGACATACCCTTACCCTTTGCCACCTCAGTTGTTATTCAACCACTTATTATAACTCATTCTGTCTCTCTCCTGCATGCATGGAATGCCACTAACTCGCTCGTGTGTGACTAAACGGCGCGTGACGTCATCACGGTAGAAGATGGAGGTGCAACTGGAAGCCAGGCTCGATGAAGTAAGGGATGAGGTCAGGCAAGAGGTCGTCAACCATCTGCAGGAACAGCTCCAGGTATGTCAAACTGATATCTTTGTTCCTTCTATCAGAACGGCGTATTGAAAGCGTATTAGGAACATTAGTGTAATTCATAATAAAGTTAGAAATAAGGTATTAAAAGTAGGGTGACAAATTAATATTACAAAATTAGTGTCAGGGCCAGGGTGAAGTACAATTTCGTACTGTGCCCAGGCTCAAAACAGAAGATTGAACGGGTTGTAGTCAGTAACATTTAGAAGCTATTAGATATAATATTCAAAAAAGCCCTACATATATTTTTGAATGTTTTATTTCATCACTTTAATTAGCGTCTATACTATGTTAGGGGCCAGACGCGTATTGTAACAATGTTTTCTATTCATAATACGTCTGAAGATCACGTCTAGGCAAAAGTAGTGCAAGCCAGTAGTGTAGTACCAGCTAAGTGGACTGACGATATCCGCGGGGTGGCTTGCAGTGGTTGGGTGAGAAGAGCTGAACATCGACATTAGGGAAGCCTATGTCCAGCAGTGAGGAATACGCCTCTTTTTAATGTTATTTGTTCGGATTTAATGATAAGCAGTCAAAAAACGCCGTAGTTTTTTGTTGCGGATGTGCTGTTTTGTGTTTCAATACGCTTACGATACGCCGTCGTGAGTAGAAATAGGTGTTCTTCCTAGTTCTTCTTCCCCTTGCTAGTATTTTAGCATTTACTAAAGCAATGAGTCAATTTAGCTGCTTATAATTTAGATATGATTGTGTTGGCACTGTTAGCAGACAGTTGGCCGCCTATATTAAAATCGCAGACAAGTAAAGGCTATTTTTGTACCTTATGTTTAATATCTTAAGGTTCATATTTATTAAAGCCAGCTTGCTTAGTGCTTATTTTGAACTTTTATTGTTTTGCTTTTCTATGTGATTGAACCAAGCCCAGTGTAAATAAAAATAATTGGCTGTTACAAATAATTTATTGTAAATATAAAGTAGTTATCAAAATATCTAGATGTAAGAACAATTTTTTTCAACCAACTCTATTTATTATTACACAATACTTCGACACAAATAATTTCACACATAAAATGTAAATAGGTCCATGAACACTGACTTTTATTACAAATTCACTAACTAAAATACCCATAAATATTTTATGTAGTCCTAAACTAACTGGAGTAAGTATTTCACTGAGATTCACTTAACCTACATACATACTGTACCGAATGGGTACAAATACTTTTTCAAAACTCATTTGGTTGTTCGTGTAATAAACTCTTCGAATGTTTTACCAACTATATTTATTTGGGTTAAAAAGCTTTCGGTTTGGTGTTGGTGTGGTATATTGTCTTTGAGCTCAACTTTGAATAGTAACAATATATATAATACCCCAAATTGTCCCCGAAAGAGTTTCTCTCAGCATTTTACATGCGAAAAACTTATTGGCCTTTCACAACACTAGTCTCAATAGTATACACATCTGTTTCCCATCAATACAGTTATCGATAAAACTGCTTTTATTTGCAATGTTCCGTAGTAACCCGTAGTACGAGTATGTAGCTGCCCTGTGTCCAAGTATTGGACTGGTGCCATCTCGGTACACCATTAATAAATACGCGGCCGACGCACTAGGCGGCGTGGCCTATCGCTCAAATAGACCAAGGCTTACCACTTGGAGGGAACACGCTTCCCTCTCTACTTTAAAAAATAATAAACAAGCAATATTTTCCATTTCTCAAGTGAAAGTGTAACTTTTTCTTATTAATTTGTGATGTGTGACTTCGTGTGATGTGTGAAAGTGTCTTCTTCAAGATTTTCCGTAGATTGAAGGACAATGACATCTATTAGTGTTTTCCAAGATACTGTGGGATAGTGGTTTATGACATTGCAGTTATTAATAGATATTTGAGTTAATTTTTGTGTTTGGTTGAACTGTTTATAATGTGAAATGCCTGATCGCAATCATTTGCCATTTTACAAGCGACGTGTAAGTTTTTTCTTAATATTTTCTAACAAAATGAACATGTGTTTTATCTAACAATGCGCGGGAAAATCGCACAAAGAGAACGCCGACGATTCTCTTGTTGTTGTTCCGTTATTAGGATCTGAACTAAATATACTTAATTTTCTTATCTGAAATTACAATGGCATAGGTGTTTCAAAATTTTTTGTGATAAATGTTTTTTTTTCATATCAAATGTATCACATAGACTTCCTAATCTGTTTTTTAGTCTGCGTTTGGAACTATTGTGTAATATTATCTGGACAGACAGGTCATAGTATTAAATATTTTGAATTATTATTTATTATCAGTTGGTATGTTTTTAAATCTATACCATGTATACATCTACACCTGTATTGTCCATAAAAATTGATAGTTACCATGGTAGTGGATGTCATGGTGATCCTTTCGAGATTAAATCGACTATCAGAAGAGTTAGCCCTTAAAGTACTTTATAATTAGGTGATTATAAACAGCGGTAATGTCTCATATGGTTAGACGTTCTATATTTTTCTTTGGCAATTCTCGACTGTCATTCCAGATTTATCTTGGTTTCGCGACAACGTCGGCGCCTTACTGGTATTTGAGAGGTCGATAGTTCAAATCCCATTCTTGTATTGTTTCGTTAGTTGATTTTCAAATAAGTTTACTGCAACGTTTGTAAATATTGTTTAGATAGCTTAAGCTTAACCTACAAAACATTATGAGTTAGAGAATACGTAGATTTTTTTTAATGATACATGCTCTACTGTCGTACATAACACACAATTTCAGACGGAAAAAAGAAAATAATAATAATAATTTAACAATACCTGACCTTTGGCACTTTGTAGTCAACAGTGGTCACTTAAAAACAAAAACATTAACGAGTTTTTCATAAATATGTTCAAAATGTAATTTCTCTTAAATTACGTAAGTATGTTAAGCTTACGCGATACTGACAGGTGTTTATGGGATGAGTGACGTCTTATGAATACTTTACCGACGTCTTGACCTAATTCTCATTGATTTTTTCTCTTATAAATAAATAAATATTCAGTATATTTCTTCTGTTTGAGAGATTTGAACTGATATATTTTTTTACGGGCATGACGATGATATGACGTATAAGTATTAATCTGAAAGAGTTTCACTACTGAAAACCATTCGGTTTTAGAAGCTAACATGAAAAGGTCGGCGTTTATGATAATAATATGTAGTTTAAAATATGTTTATTCATACAAATCTGCATAGAGACGCAACAGTATTACTAGCATCTGAAACACAAATAAAAGAAGTAAAAAAATTACTCACTCGATCTATAAATATTCGCGCATGTACAGTCATCGTCTGCAGTTCATCGCCATTTACAAATATTGTCAATCCGTCCCTGGCATGTTTCCAGACTATAGAAGTATAGGCGACATTTTTCGCGTTTCTGACCTCATTTTTAGCCTCCACGCTGTCTCTCCAAACTCTACACTTTTTTCTTAAGACGACACTTATTTGGGTCAACGATCTGATGAAAAGTTTGTATCTGGTTTACACACAATTATTTATTTACGAAAAAAAGTTTTGGCCATGTTTGGTATATAAAGTTTTATTCATTTGGATATAATGGTTTAGTACGTATGCTTTATGTACATTTGTAGTAGATTAAATTTTACTGATTTAGTAAACATCTTAATTAATTCTTACTAATAATGATCGTATAAAGCTGTAAAATTTGTTTGTTTGAACGCGCTAATATCCGGAAAACTACTGGTCTCAATTGAACATTTTTTTTGTGTTTGTTAGTCCATTTATGGAGGAAGGCTATAGAACA